TCACCATGACTTATGCTTATTGTGTGTACAGATATTTTCCAGTAGGTGACATTTGGTGCGGATCTGGGGTTGATGTGTTCCGCTTCCTGTGCTCGCAAAACGAGCCGGACAAGTTGGCCAGATAGTGTGTTTTTATGGTAGTTTAAAGGCCAGAGTGTACCCATGTGCACATGGAATGGCTGTTGATAGCCTGGATTATTTTTTAAAAAATATAAGGCTACTATAGAAGTCTATGGGAAAACATTTGGTGTTGTGTAACCTGTTCAGACACGCCGCTCAAACTCAATTACCCATACTCTGCACACGGCACGCTACCCCTCCCCTCTCGCTAATGTAAACAACCTGACGCAAGCTCTCACTGACAAAGTCAAGGCCACTCAACACAGCCAGCTTACTCCCAGCGCTCGCCTCTCAGCTGCTGTCCCCTGCTACACTGCCTTCTACACTCCCACCTTAGGATTACTGCTTTAGATTTCGGTAACTTCAAATCATATATATTATTGTAGATCTTCAGCTACAGGCGTACGTTCATTTGTGTAGTTATTGTTCAATGTATTGCGAAATTGTTATAATGTTTAGGAAGGGTTGAACCCCGGAAACAGCTGTACACTTACACCTATGTCAAACTATTATGTATATTCAGGCTAAAAAGACCAGTGCTTGTATTAAAGGGAGTACGGTAGTGCGTAAATTGCACTACCGTAAAACATCTACGAAACATCTACGATACGTGTACTAGTTAATGTTTCATTATTTTAAGCTGATGTTACCAATAGGAATCTAATGTGATAGCGTGTTTATTTGTATCGTTGTGTGCCGTTCTCTGAACTTAAAAATATGTTCCTGTAAGGTTCTACCTGTACATAAAAATATAATGCCCAACATACGCTGATGTTTTGATAAGTATAGTGTAATATATATGAGTACAATATGTTCGTATCAGTTATCTGTAATACTGTACCTTGTATTTGATGTGTTCATATATATGTATACATATGATGGAATTGAAATATTTTATAAATGTAATGTTCAAAACATGTTGATGTTCTGCGAAGCTTAATAATTATGAAGATGAAAATAATATGTTCACGTCAGTCTAATGTAATACTGTATGATTGCTTTGATATGTTCATATATTGAATTGAATTGAAATGTTTTATTGAATTCACTCTGCATCTGAATAAACCTTGGAACGCTAGCAACTCTAATGTCATCATTATCCTGAATTCATATATTTTATTTTAAGGCCAAAATTACCGTGAGACAGCACTTTCTGAGTTCCTTTATGTTAACCTTCTAAGGTAAATATTGTATGCTATGCGGCGATTACCGCCGATATCATTTATGGCTTCGTTTAACTCATGTCATGAGTTATCGCCCCTGATCTTTGTAAATTTCAACCCCTCAGTGATCATTATATTTCTGTAATGTTTCAATGCACAGATAATATTGTCGGCGCTCATGCATTCAATCTGTATTAACACATATACTGTTAATGTACTGAATATAACAGACCCACAAAAGATAACGGTGTGACTTATTCCTGGGTCAGTGAGTGAGTCAGTGATTGTACTTATGCAGTCATCCAGGTATATCACAGGAGCCTGAAGATTGTAATCTTAACACTATCACAGCTATAAAACTGCAACAATAAAACTTGAATCGTGACCCTGCGCATTCAGAGCGATTTCAAAACACAATCACTCATTCGACATCACTCGTCCCTTTCCGTAACATGCAAACTGTCCCTGAATGACGAGTTGATCACGAATGAACCACGTCAACCCTGTACGGTATATCTCTTCCTGTGCTCCCTCCTGAGGAGGGTACGTAAGTCCCAAAACATTTCAAGTAAATTTAAGTCTAACAGGTTTTTAATCGTAGTATTTTTGTGATTTTAATGTATGGCTAAATCTCAGTATAAACGCCAATGGCTGAAGGGATGGTGTAAATCCAGCTAGGGTCCATGCAGGTAGCAAAGGTACTGTAAGTCCCCATGGTCCCTAGTATGGTGATCGACCTTCAGTTGTTGGCGATCTATAGCCTGTTTTTATGTTGTATTGTCCTAATAGTGCTATTAGTTTTAACCTTCCACACTAGTTTTAAATCTAATTGTGATATTCTAGTTGTTTTACTGTCCTTCAATGACAGGTTTTATAATATGCACATATTCCATTTCAATGTAAAATGTTCTCGTCACGATATGGCTGAAATATTGCCGATGTGACGTTAAATATTAACTCACTCACTCTCTCACTTCATGTGCTCAGTTTCCCTCTACACCGGTTACCTAGGGTCTATCTCGCCTGGTGCTCAGTTTCCCTCTACACCGGTTACCTAGGGTCTATCTCGCCTGGTGCTCAGTTTCCCTCTACACCGGTTACCTAGGGTCTATCTCGCCTGATGATCAGTTTCCCTCTACACCGGTTACCTGGCTGTCTCAGGTAAGTGTGTTGTCATAGGGGCTTCGTCTATTCCAGGTGTAACGCTACACACCTGTCCTACTGTTTACAGGTAACACTACAATGGTTCATCTAACTGTTAGGTCATCTCCAGGCACATTCTCAAATCAGGGCACCTAATATGCTGTAATATTTAGACTGAGCATGGTGTATGGAGTGTCTACTTTCATTACTTCCTTGATCGGCCTGTTGACTTCAATACTGATATCTGTCTCGATGTATGTGGATGTATGTATATAATGTGTGTGGGATGTGGGGGGTCAGGACATGATTAGACCCCCGTGGAAACAATACTTCCAGAACTGCAGCGGTAAGTTTCTTGCTATATCTCCCAAACTGTCCTCTTTTGGTTTATGACATGCATTTTGGTTGCTTGATACCGGCAGTGCTCTGTTTTAGATATACAAGAACACTGATCGAATCTTTTCTCATCTCAGGTCAAGGATAGGTGGATAGTCATATGAATAGCGCCTAGGTTTCGGAAGGTGGGTAGTCATATGAATAGCGCCTATGTATCGGAAAGGTGGGTAGTCATATGAATAGCTCCTATGTATCGGAAAGGTGGGTAGTCATATGAATAGTGCCTATGTATCGGAAAGGTAGGTAGTCATATGAATAGTTCCTATGTATCGGAAAGGTGGGAAGTCATATGAATAGCGCCTATGTATCGGAAAGGTGGGTAGTAATATGAATAGTGCCTAAGTATCGGAAAGGTAGGTAGTCATATGGATAGTGCCTATGTATCGGACAGGTGGGTAGTCATATGAATAGCACCTAGGTATCAGAAAGGTTGGTAGTCATATGAATAGCGCCTATGTATCGGAAAGGTGGGTAGTCTTATGAATAGTGCCTATGTATCGGAAAGGTAGGTTGTCATATGAATAGCGCCTATGTATCGGAAAGGTAGGTAGTCATATGAATAACACCTAAGTATCGGAAAGGTGGGTAGTCATATGAATAGCGCCTAGGTATCGGAAAGGTGGGTAGTCATATGAATAGTGCCTATGTATCGGAAAGGTAGGTTGTCATATGAATAGCGCCTATGTATCGGAAAGGTAGGTAGTCAAATGAGTGCTCATATGAATAGTGCCTAGGTATCGGAAAGATGGGTAGTCATATGAATAGTGCCTAGGTATCGGAAAGGTGGGTGGTCATATGAATAGTGCTTAGGTATCGGAAAGGTAGGTAGTCATATGAATAGTGCCTATGTATCGGAACGGTGGATAGTCATATGAATAGTGCCTATGTATCAGAAAAATGGATAGTCATATGAATAGCGCCTATGTATCGGAAAGGTGGGTAGTCATATGAATAGCGCCTAGGTATCGGAAAGGTGGGTAGTCATATGAATAGTGCCTAGGTATCGGAAAGGTGGGTAGTCATATGAATAGCGCCTAGGTTTCGGAAAGGTAGATAGTCGTATGAATAGTGCCTATGTATCGGAAAGGTTTGTAGTCATATGAATAGCGCCTATGTATCGGAAAGGTGGATAGTCATATTAATAGTGCATATGTATCGGAAAAATGGATAGTCATATGAATAGCGCTTATGCATCGGAAAGGTGGGTAGTCATATGAATAGCGCCTATGTATCAGAAAGGTGGATAGTCATATGAATAGCGCCTAGGTTTCGGAAAGGTAGGTAGTCATATGAATAGTGCCTAGGTATCGGAAAAATGGATAGTCATATGAATAGCGCCTATGTGTCGGAAAGGTGGGAAGTCATATGAATAGTGCCTATGTATCTGAAAGGTGGGTAGTCATATGAATAGTGCCTAGGTATCGGAAAGGTGGGTAGTCATATGAATAGTGCCTATATATCGGAAAGGTGGGTAGTCATATGAATAGTGCCTAAGTATCGGAAAGGTAGGTAGTCATATGGATAGTGCCTATGTATCGGAAAGTTGGATAGTCATATGAATAGTGCCTATGTATCGGAAAGATGGATAGTCATATGAATAGCGCCTATGTATAGGAAAGGTGGGTAGTCATATGAATAGCGCCTAGGTATCGGAAAGGTGGCCAGTCATATGAATAGCGCCTACGTATCAGAAAGGTGGGTACTCATATGAATAGCGCCTAGGTTTCGGAAAGGTAGGTAGTCATATGAATAGCGCCTATGTATCGGAAAGGTAGGTAGTCATATGAATAGTGCCTATGTATCGGAAAGGTGGGTAGTCATATGAATAGTGCCTATGTATCGGAAAGGTAGGTAGTCATATGAATAGTGCCTATGTATCGGAAAGGTAGGTAGTCATATGGATAGTGTCTATGTATCGGAAAGGTGGGTAGTCATATGAATAGCACCTATGTATCGGAAAGGTGGGTAGTCATATGAATAGTGCCTATGTATCGGAAAGGTTTGTAGTCATATGAATAGTGCCTAGATATCGAAAGGTGGGTAGTCATATGAATAGCACCTTTCTTTGCCCCGCGTTTGGGTTCGAATCTTAATGTCATGGAAACATGAATGCTTTTATGTCGAGAGGGCTTTCTCCACCATTTCACTTTGGCGTGAATTGTATCTTCTATATTGCAGGTATCCTGTACGTGGTTGACACTAACGACAGGGAGAGGTTTGTCGAGTCACGGGAGGAACTGAAGAACGTCATCGACAGCGACGAGATGAGATTTGTTCCTGTCGTCGTCCTGGCTAACAAGCAAGACTTGCCAGGTGGGGACATGGTCGACACAGAAAATGATGGTGTACGCCCTTGTATTTAAATTAGCAACATAAACAGTCTCAGGCTCAGGAATGTTCTAATGGCGTTCATTGTTGATCTGTGTAGTGTGATTTATGATAGTGATGCTGCTGAAGATGACGTAGTGATGCTGCTGCTGCTGCTGATAGCTATAATGGTAGTGATGATGATTATTATGGATTGTGATGATCAATCTCATTAGCAAATTCAAATTATATAGATGGCCATCCTACTAGGCACATGGCTGAAAGTATTTTATGATAATATTTCAAAATATTTTCGCCAGTTTATTTCCCAATTTTAAAAACAAACAACACACTTTGTACCTATCTTCAGCTGGCGTTGTGATGCATGAAGCCCTGAATAAGTCTTATAACCGTGATACGATGGCATCCGAGGGCGTTGGCAACAGCATTGTATGTCGACCCCATCTGCACCATTACAATGGCTCTTTCTCTCTCTTCAGCTGTTAATCGTGGCATATGTCTCGTACTTGTGTATCATATCATGCATTCTAGGCTCTCTTCATATCCTATAGAATCATTCTACATATGAAATGGATGCAAATACTGCTTGCATATTGCTGCGCTTTTGGCGATTGATATTGTTATGTGTAAACAGAGAATGGATAAATGTTACTTTGCAAGCAAAAAGATGACGGACCGGAAGTGGTACATCCAGGGGACATGCGCTACGACCGGGCAGGGTCTGTTTGAGGGTCTGGAGGAAATGTCCAGACTGGTGAAAGAATTCAAACAGAGCAGGAAGCGGTGAATCTTTCCAGACATAAATAACCACAAACTTGTATCTGTGATAATGTCCAGAAGCTCAGGGATGACCAACTGAAGGGTATCTGTGTTGAAACCTGAATGGACTGATGTGACCTCCCACAAATATATTTAATCACGTGTTAGTTTGTTCAATACATGATATGCAAGTTGAAATGCTGTCATATGATTTTGACAAGGTTTGTCAAGTCTGTATTGTGGCGAGGAAGCCAAAAGGAGGACCCCACTGTTGCGACACGTTGCCGTCAGAACAAAGACTCCCACCTCGATGTTACTGATTCAATCTTATGCCCAGTCCGTCTCCATGGTTACCGATGCTTACCGTTATGTCACGTGATGACTCGAGATCTGTAGCGCTATCAGTCTTTCGTTACTGTTATACGTATGTAGCAATTTGTTATATAATTCATCGTGTAAATACTCACATGTTTCCAACATTCCTTGGTTTGTCTTTTATCTGAACACGTTGTATGGTGTTCATGTTTTCAATACATGTGTGAACGTTCATGTTTTATTTACCTGTTGTTTTGTACTTAAACATGTAATTGTAATTGTTGTTGCAATACAAGTTTAAAAAAAAGTATTTTTTCACAAAGTTATTTGTCCATAACTGACATCAAGGTACAGAAACGGTACTTAACCACGGTGTGCAATGCTGAGCATCGATGCTCGGATGAACATTTCGGACAGTTGCGGCGTACAACAATATTTACTCGTTCCTCCTTTTGATCATCGGATCTTGCATCGTGAACTCATCAGTGGTGGACGTTAAAACGTTTTAAAATTAATATCACATTTATTATCTCATTACACCCAAAACTATCTATTTGATGAACATTTCCTTCCAGATTGTTTCCCATATCCGTTTAATACAAGTCCGACCGAGGTTCCTTTGATCGACTCATGGGTTCAATGCAGCAGTCGCTATTGTACGCATTCTTCCCGGCCCTGAAGAATTACTGCGTCTCCTTCTGTCATTTCAACAGAACGGGCGTTTCAAATTTTGTTATTTCCTTCCAAAGTAGCAAGCCCCTTGCCACTCAGGGCATATGTAATATAGCGACCATTCATATTGCATTAGGATACTTTTGACCTACAGGACTTGGATAGTTAAGATAGAAAAAAATCAAATGTTTAGAAGGTATAGTGACAGTTATCAAATGTGTAAGTATGCATTATAATTAGTCTTCGTTCATTTCATTACTTCTATTTCCTTGTCATGCTACAACACTTCATGTTATGGTTAGGCTAAAATGTAAAAAAACATAGCTGCTTTTAGATATTTTAATACATTTTGAGCATGAACGACTATTTGAACGCAGCTGATATTTCAAAAAGATGATTATAAAATCAGAAGAACCAATTGGTAAATTATAACAATCCTCCTGTGACTTTTCATCAAATGACGACGGCCTGTAAATAGCAGACACTGCAGTGATCGATATTGTGAGCACTGACCCACGCCGTCGGGTTACGATGACACGCTATGAACCAGTTCACCGAGCCTGACTACCGTTTGGTTGCCTGTTCAGTCAAACATACGTTGCTAGGGATTTAATCGAATCAGGGTTCCCCATGTAGGTGTCCTTACCCACACCACATTAGTTTTGTGTTTTGTCTTACCACTTACATATATATGGATCTCAAAAACCTACACATGATACCTTGACGTGTCCAAAGGCTATATGAATCTTCGTTGCATGTGTATTATGTCAAGAGACGTTGATAAGGTAAGCTGCGTGCTTTGACCAAAATCGCAAAACTTTGATCGAACTGATTAAGGGAAACACAACGTATACTCATAGACAGTTATGATACACACAATGTGACGTTTCCTGGAATAGTTCCACATGTTGGGAGATGGAGATTACTGAGAACAGTGAAGCAATTACATGTTGTAGAGAATCCAATTCCGATTGTGCACAACCTGAAACAAGTGATGATATGGCGCAACGAGCTATTGCAAGTGAATCCGGGTCACTGGGTCACCAGGCAGTTCCTATATGTGTTGATAATAAGACATCATCCTGGAAGACAAAACGTCGACATCCGTGACGACATAGGGTGTCAGTGTGTTGTCCTTGATGTACTGTTCAGTGACCTTCACACAACATGGAGTGAGATTTACAGTCATAGAGATGTCCCCGATCCACGCAATATTCGTTGACATTGGCTTGGCGTTTCTTCGACGTTGCCAAAGACGTCACGTCAACGTAATGGAGACTAATCTGAACCCCTGAAGCCGATGATGCACCAGTTTAGTTATGTGTACGGTACTACAGGGAACTGTTACGCCAAAGAAACTGGCATCAAGGTATAGACTGTGACTGATGGGTCTTAGCACTATATACAAGGAAAGGAGTGTAACGAGGTCAACACATCAAGTTCGTTTCAGGACGAATTCCACAATTATCATTGTATATACCCCTATAAAGTCATAAAGTCATACAGTCTATATAGTCAAACTAGAAACTTCACAATCGTATAATAAATAATATACTCTCCCAAAAAAGAAACGCAAATAGGAATTTCGACTGTATTTTCATGTCTATTTTGAAACATCTTGTAGGCTTTATGAGTCCATGAAATATAGCGAAATTGCACACTGGGAATGCAGACTTATCCGTCTCGGAGGAAAGTCAGTTTGAGTGTCACATGGAGACGTGTGGTGGCGCTGAAGTCAATACCTCGTGTGACCACCGTGGGCATCCAGAACTGCACGGCATCGCCTCGGCATCGAACGATTAAGTCTCAGAAACTCGTGTTGCCCAAAAGCAGCCCACTCTGCCTGTAGTGTCTGTGCGAGTTGCTGAAGTGTCTGGGGCCGAGGGTTACGGCGTCGCACCCGTCTGTCCAGGGCATCCCACAGATGTTCGATCGGGTTTAGGTCCGGTGATCTTGAGGGCCAGGGCAGCACATTGATGTTGTGGTTCTGGAGGAAATCTCTAGTGTGACGTGCTGTCTGGGGCCTGGCATTGTCCTGTTGAAACAACTCCCTCTGGCGATCAATGATTGGAAGGAGGTGTGGGCGTAGGATTTCGTCACAGTACCGTTGAGCTGTCAAGTTGCCCTGGATCATCACTAAATCACTTCTTCTACGGCAGGTGATCGCTCCCCACATCATAACACTGCCCTGACCGAATCGGTCCACCTGGGGAACGCAAGCGTCGGCGAAACGTTCACGTCGACGCCTGTACACCCGCAATCTTCCATCGCGTCGTTCCAAAAGAAATCGTGATTCATCACTGAACCAGATTCTACGCCAATTCGGTAGGTTCCAGGCCTGAACGTTGGTGCACCATTGAACTCAATGTCGACGATGTTGTTGTCGAGGCACAGGGCCAAAATAAGGTCTTCTGGCACGTAAACCAGCCTCTCTCAACCTGTTCCTGACGGTCTGTGAAGAAAGCCTCCTCAATCTGGGTATTTGTCGAGCGGTACTGGTCGCCGTAGCTATTCGATGACGCAGGTGATGTACCCGGATGTAGCGATCCTGCGCCGCAGTGGTCGCTCGAGGTCGCCAACTACGAGGGGCATCTGCTACCGCCTTCTGCCGGCGATATCTCTCCCAGAGCAGTGAAATGGTGCTTTGGTGAACATTAATGCGTCGGGCAACTGCACGTTGAGACTGGCCAGCTTCAAACAAACCAATGGCGATATGACGGTTGGCTTCACTTAGACGTGGCATTTTGCGTTCGTCAACAATATTCCAAATACAGTGAATAATCGACAGACAGCGATCAACCTTTTATACCCATCATTGAGACTATGTGATCCCAAACTTTCATGTGCATTGCATATGAATTGTGTATTCTGTGACACTACACGCCGAAATTGACAATCATGCTGTTAAATACGGGTATTTTACGGTTGGTGCGTTTTGTTTTGATGTTTCAAAACATAAACACCATAGGACTCATAAACAGAACAAAAACTTTTGTAAAATGAATCTCGTTTTATTTTATTGCTACATGAAATTGCTATTTTCATGATGCGTTTCTTTTTTGGGAGACTATATATAAAAGAAAGGACACAAGAATGTGGTATAGAGGTTATCATTTACTTGTTAAGGTCGATAGGATGAACTGACAATATCAAAAATCGGTTCCATATGGTTACACAATTTATCAATAAAAGGCGTAAACAAAGTATCAACTCACAAGAAATTAAATCTGATGTTTCAC